TGTATAAGAGAATAAAGGCAGTACCTTACTTCCTTACTTCCTTTCTTCAACAGAAATGTTAGCATGTTATACAGAAAAGACAGGATGAGTTTAGATTTTGAGATTTATTTTTTTGTCAGTCACCAACCAAATTTGGCAAATTTGCTACTTTACTGCTGAAAATGTTTGCATATTTGACTCCAACAATAAAAAATTCAATGTTTTCTTTTCTCTTGAATCCAGAAACTCAGAATGTTTTTGCCTGTGTGATCAAAGAAACAGAACGTATTTGTTTCACACCATCAGAAGTTTTCTTCTCATGTCAGCAAAGAACAAATGTTTGTTTTAGATGGTTCTGCTGTTATCATGTCCTTCAGAGACAGTGCAGCACAGAAAGTGTGCCAACAGTGAACTTGAAGCATTGTCAGCAGCTATCAGCGAGGCTTTTTCTAACCGTCAGTCCAGGAAAACAAAACCATAACAGAGCCCCGAAAAAGCCCAGAACCAGACCTCCTGTCACGCATTTTTCTGTCATGGATCGTACAAAGACATAAGCTGAAGTGAACATTTAAACTCTTAAGGTGAAGTTTTAATCTTTGCCTTCCAACCTGAAACTTGTTGTAAAATCTTGTGTCAAAATGACCATCAAGGTCTCAATGTCTCACAGAAATATCACAAGAATCTCCTTAACTTTCCACCATGAGGCAGAAATGGCACAATTCAGGATTTTTAAAGTCACATTTTGGCATGATAAAAAGCAACAAACCTCATCTCTGCTGTGGTTACCCCGCCACATAACCCCGCCCTGTCTCAGGTAAATTTGAGTACATCTCCACTTTAGTGAAAATAAGGAATTTACAAGACAAGAACAACAAAATGCAAGTTATTTTTGGTTGTTTTTCTGACTCTTTAAATTCTCTCTTCAGCATGAACCAACTCAATGTTTTGTCAAACCTGTTTTTTTTTTTTTTGTTTTTTTTTAAAGCCTAACTGCTTTTTCACCTCCTGCCTTTGTGGAAGAGTTTTAACTAACATCTCACTTTGAGCAATAGATGTCAATTATTTTGTGAACAATCTTGCATCTTAGCACAATATGTCTAAAAATGATTGAGTTTTAAACCATTTTTGTGTTTGGAAAGATTTCTTTACTATGGCAGCCATCTTGAATCAGGTTGGCTCAACAATTTTTTTAACAAGTTTATTCAGTAAATACTTGCTCAGGGTTTCATTGAAATGCATCTAGAGGTTCTGATATTTTGCTAACAGACAGGGTTGAGTTAAAGTGTAAAATTGACCGAGTTATGGTCATTTTGTGTTTACCAACGTTGATGGAATGTGGCTTTTTAGTTTATCTACAAGTAAAGAAATCAGGCCAAGCATGATAGATCACACAAAGCAGGAGTTTTTCATTTAAATATAATTAAATAAACAATGAAATCTTCAATGCAGTGCATATGTTACAGAATGCAGTTTCTCCCTGTTCCTTGTGAATGTGCCGCACTCCTTCCACAGCTAGGAACACGGAGTTCCAACAGGTTTGATTGGGTCGGAGGAACTGCAGTTTGCATTCACATTCAACCATTTCAAACCGACCTGCTGCGTTTATTCCACAGAGCAGTTCATTTTGCAAAAGCAGATCAAGATAGTTATCGAGATAGGTTTCATTCCCAACTTCTGGAAGAGTGGCATTAACTGTGGATATGAGATTCAGCAGATGGCATGCACATTTTTTGTGTTTTGGAAGTTTGCACTCAAGGCGTCATCATCCAGAATGGCAGATACGTCCTGGTAATCCATCTCTGACTCACTTTCATCTTCTGATGCTTTATCCATGATGTAAACTCTCTCTTTGGTTTATTGGCATCTTTATCGTCTTTTTCCTCCACACCTTATAAATGTTGTAACGGGGGCGGACCCAGAGAGTACGAACTGAGAAGAGAGCATAACCAAACTTGGGATATAATTGAAAAGGTTTATTTACAGTGGAGATCAGGTAATATTTTACAGGCAGGATCTGGAGCATTAAAATGGAAGAGAGGGATTAGTACTTCAGAAGGTGAAGTCATGCAGCAGATAGTCAAATCTGAATCTTGGTCTCTTACAGTCGTGAAAATAAAGGCAGCAGGAGGAGAAGGCTGAGGGTTTTTCCAAAACTTGAGGATCCAGATAAACAGAAACATGAGTGGTGAATGATGTGAGCGCAGCTGAGGAAGGAGCATCGCAGGTGAGTATCATATAGTAGGTTCTTAATTCTTCAGGTAGGTGATCCCACAGGTCGGGGTCAGGACAGCAATACTCTGGAAACACGAAGGCAAAAACACAAGGTAAGCACTTTAACATAAATGGATGGAGGTACATGCTCCAGCAAGGAATGGAGCTCATCTGAAGCCTTAGTCCTGGAGCCAGCTAGGGGAATGACCTCCAGCTGTGGTGGCTCACTAGTGCCACCCTTGCTCTGAGGAACCTGCAAGAAAGAGGCTGAAAAACTCTACAAGGCTTTCAAGAAGTTAGAGCCACTGTCTGTTGTTGTTCTGGTCACATTTTGCCTGATCTGACTGTCAGAATGTGATTTTTCTAATGCAGCAGCAAGAACATAAAATGTGTTTAACATGTCCACAAGACAATGCAGCAGACTGCCTCTGCAGAGTGGTGGGTTCTGTCCAGCGACAGGTGATCCAAAAGAACTATGCTGTCTGGCAGTCCAGCAGTCTGTTGTGGTGGTGACATGGTTCACATCACTCAACTTTTAATGATTATGCTCTTCATGTTCTTTACAACTTCCTGTATTCTGCAGCGTAATGTTTTCCTGGTCATTAGAGTATTTTGAGGGTGAAGAGATTATTTCATAGTCTTGAAGGTTGACACCTCAACCACAGAAAATGGTTGACTAGCTTCACATACAATATTTAAAACAAGCCTATCAAGTGTTGTCTGGTACTTGTCGTGGAGACATGAGGGGATCAGGGATCTTCACACTCTTCATCAAGGGTTCATCAGAGGAAGAGGATTTTTTATTTTTTATTGGAATCTACCAACTGGGAGTTGTTGGGGTGGATCCTTTGGTCACAGAAAAAATACATACATAAATGAATAAATTAAACTTTACATTATTATTATTATTATTATTATTGTTGCTGTTGTTGTTGTCAATTTAATTATTGTAATGGCATGTCAAAGTGGAAAAGGTGAAACACCCACACCTGCCTCTACCCTCATTCGCCCCACTCTGGGCCCCTGAGCAAGACAACTCCCACCATCTGCTCTCTAAACAGGTCTCTCTTGAAAATGAGTTCTCGTGACTCAATGAGACTACCTGTATAAATAAAGGGTAAATAAACCACAAAAAAAAAACCTGTAGAGCTAAGAAAATCCCATTGTAAAGGAATAATAAAAGGCCCAGAGTACAAACTGTACTACGAACTGTGTTCGTGTGTGTGTTTGTTTTTTCTAATAAAGCCTGAATTCTTGTTCTACTGAGACAGACGTATTGGAGGTTTGTGTATTTGTGACATTCAAAATCTAAACAAGGGGATTGTCAGTCAGTGTGTATACATCTTACCCGCCAACCATCCGGATTTGTAGCCAAGCGTTTCAGGGTAAATTAGCAATCATTGTATGCCTGCCAATTACAAATTAATTTTTGGTCTTACACAATATAACATTCAAAAGTTACATCATATACAATTTGTAAAGATATGCATGGTGTAATAAAGCTAACATTAATACACAAAGTCAAAAATATAACCCAGACTTACCGCAACATGTTTCACATCAAGTTCTTGTAGGCTGAAATGTTTTGGCAGACACAGCTGACAGCGCATGATATAACTTGATATGACTGTTTTGTTTTGTTTTTTTAAGAGAAATGTGAGGTAAACATTGCTCGTATGTGAAGCCAGGGGAGCTCTGACTCCTCATCGCCAGCTTCTTCTGTTTCCATCCTGTTTGGTACTGATATTTCTTTCTCTCACCTGAGTACAGTGCCTTCTACCCACGGTCCTCGGGGATTTCGTGTGTTCGGTCATGTGACTGTTTGGCTTCACTTGATTGGTCACACAAAGTCAGGTGACAAGAAGTTGTGCAATCTTTCCACCATTAAAATAATGGTAATTTCAAATACTTAAAATAGAAATAAAGGTAACGAGTGGCACAAAGCCCAGTGTAACAGAGTAAAAGTCAAATTTTTCTCCCCATGAATTTACCCAAGTAAAAATAGGCATTTTCTAGATTAAAGCTCCTCTCACAAGTACAGTTTTCCCAAAAAGCTACTTAAGTAAATGTAACTGAGTAAATGTATCTGAGTAAATGTAACGCGTTCCTATCCATCTCTGGTTACAATGCATTTTTTTTTTTCTGGAACAGAAGCCATTGCTCCTGTTGGCTTGCCTTTTACAGTTTTTAAATAATGTTAATAAAAAGGAATAAATCGATCGCCCACAAAGATTAGTTTGTTTATCTTCGGGATAAAAATGTTTTGTTGTTTGTCTTTTTGTTTGTTTGTTTGTTTGCTTAGAAGTCAGCAGTTTGAAGTTTGATGAACTTTTCAAGTGCAAGTCACACTCCGTTAATCCTCCATGTAATCAAGCCTTTCTGCTTCCTCGGGTCCAGAAAAAAAACTGTGTTTTTCTTTGAAGCCGTTGCCGTCTGCGCTTGCTGCCCTTAGGTCAGAATGTGGGGATCATTTAGCATACGAAGTAGAACTGCCTGGATTGTTGTTTGAAACACGCTCACCATGCTCTTAAGATTAGCCCGTGGCTTTGATTCAGTGTCAAGGCTGTTTTGAAAAAAACTAGTTTGTAGAGGTTGTACAGATGTAGTGATAATGTTGTTGTTTAGATGATTTGATATGGTGCGGAGGAGATAAACTAGCCCGAGTACAGTTTACAGGTTCAGCTGATAAACAGAACGTTATGCTTTCGTTTAAAAGTCTAATCTTTGAAACACTTGTTTATTTCCTGCTGTTAAGATGACTTATCTCTGTGCTCCTCTTTGTCTCCATCTCCATATGACTCACTGTGCAGCTCCTGCAGAGCCTTTGCTGTGCAAGTTTGCTGATGGGGGTCAGAAGAAGCGGCAGACCCAGATCAAATACCCCCAGAATGGCAGACCATGGACACGAGACGGAGAGGTAAACTCACACAGCAGTCATGACAGTTTGACAACTCACAGCAAAGAAGCCTTTTTGAATCTTATACAAAGGTACAAGAGTTAAAACAATATTTCCACAAACCCTTTTTTATTAGAGACTTTTTATACTAGCCCTGGACCTGTGATGGACTTGCGATCTGTCCAGGGTGTCCCCTGCCTCTTGCACAGAGATAGCTGGACATGGGCACCAGTGACCCCACAACCTGAAAAGGAAGAAGCGGGTCTTAACTTTGCTCCATCACACTACAACCAGAACTCTGAAGTCCACAAATCGGTTGCTTTTGTACCTTCATAGTCAAAACCAGGAGGGGATGGAGAGCTTTTGGTGGTAGCCACTAGGCCCAGTTCACACTGGATAACGATCTCCATTCATGAACTGTTTACTGCTGTTTATTCATGGTCCGGTATTGTAGGTAACACTGACAAAGAAGACACCATTCTTCTTGGAGACACTCTCCAGCTCCTCCTGAGGGATGCCAAGATGTTCGCTGACCAGACAGGCCATTATCCCTCTCGAGTCCTGGGTCTGCCTTTTGGGTCTCCTGCTGGTGGGAAAACCTTCAAAGGGAAGTGCCCAGGAGGCATCAGGTGCTTAATTCACCTCTACTGACTTTTTTGAGGAGCAGCAGCTCTTCAACATGATGCCCCAGGATGACAAAGCTCCTCATTAGTTTTCTAAGGCTGAGCCTGACCCCCCCTCTTCAGCAGTTTGTACCCAGGATTTCATTTTTTTTTTTCAGTCATGATCCACAACTCATGACAACAGGTAAAGTCTAGAAATGACCTTTCAGTTCAGATCCTTCTTTAATTCCTTAAACTGGAGCAACATCCACATTGCTGAGGATGAGGCCCAGATCTGTCAATCCTGCTCCATCCCCCCATCACTTGTGAACAAAACTCTCAGATACTTGAACTCGTTTGCTTGAGTAGCAGAAACACAGAGGGGTATTCAACCTCTCCATGACCTATTAGAACCTGGCTGGATCATTGCGAAATGTGAAGGCAACCATGAAGTTGCTATGCTCCAAAAACTCGCCAAACAAGTAATTTCTTGTGTCTCCTAGGTGGTTACCTGCATCTCCATCTAGCCATCTGAAGCACAGCTCTCTCAAACTGCACCAGGATGCAGCTGCAGGTGTCACATCTTCACAGAGTTGTTTCTGTGACCCGTCACGATCATGGTTTGAGGCACGAGGCTGGCAAGACCAGTCCTGTTTCAAATTCTTACGACTAAGCTACACCTGCATGCTTGGACACTTGTGTATCAGGGTCATACAGCCATCACGTTTCATCCTGACATAATGATAAACCCATGAACTAATAAAGAGCATTGCAATAATGAGATGTTTGTCAAGTTAGCAAAGCTGAATAAGCAATAATAACTCGCTGTTGTGCTTGTAGCCATGTTTGTCAGCAGGAAGCCCTCTATAGATGAAACATAAGAAAGCAAGGCAACAAAATGACCGTAATCTTATGAGGCATATCTTAAATACCTTGCATCTCAACTTAGAGCTCGATTCCTAATATCGTCTTTCCAAGGTTGACCCGAAAGCTTTAGAAAAAGCCTGATAGCTTCCCTGCATGGTCATTATGAGCTTTCATTTCCAGGAACATACTTCAAGCTGAAACTGAGACTCAACTTACAATATGAAAACTGGAAATCTTAAATTTGATACATAAAATGTCTGGAATAATACAATGCCCATTTTATGTCTTTGTTAAAATCTCTGCTGTCATCTTGAGTAAAAATGAAACTTTGTTCAGTGAAATAAAAGCAGACTTCCTCTGTTGCACATGAGAGGGAGTAAAGATTGATTGTGTCGACACCAAAGCATTAATTTACAGAAAAGAAGAGTGAAAAATAGCACTCCCACCCACAGAGCCTGAAGTTTTCTCCTAATGCTCACATTACTTTGAGGATGGGAAAGAGCAGGGGGAGTAAAATGGAATAAATTTGCACAAGGGTGCAACATAAGAAGAACCACAACCACAAAAAGCTGAGGTGTGTGTGTGTGTATGTGTTCAACCCTCAGGTACAGCTTGCAGGTTTGACATTTATACATCAGAAGAAACTACGAGTGATCATTTGGATTGTCCTCTTGTGAACATTTATGAAATGAACTATCAGCGCTTTCCACCAAACTTCACTCATTTGTCAGAGATCCAAATCCTGACAAGCTTCTGTCCATGAGGTGACACTCTTACTACATATAGGAAGGTAAACAATAAGACTGTTTCTTTTTTATATGCCCATTGAAAGGTGGACATCTTATGGTGCATTCTCTGTCCATTTGTCTGTAAACTTTCTCTTTTCCCATCCATAACCTCTGATCCGCTCAAGATAATTTAACCAAACTTCATACACTTATACATCCTCACCAGATGGAGTGTTGCACTCCTTTTCATAACCCCTGCTTCAAGGGCAAGGTCACAAATCAAGGTTAAATTATGTACAAGGTTTTTTTTCTTGTTAGTGCCATTGCTATAAATTTCTGTATATTAGTTTGTCAATGAGCATATAATGTTCCGTATGGACCGTACTCTTGTTCTATAGTCAGGGTTGGCTTGGGTTTCCTGAGTTATCCCTTAGTTCTCACCTCTCTCAACTGCTGTCTTTAATCACTCTACTATTCTTGTAATTATTTATTTTATCAACAGATTTTTTGTTTGTTAGTTTAGTTTAGTCCCGATTTTTCCCCATAGAAACTACATTCTGTGTTTGTCTGGGTCTCTTTAATGTCCGGTCAAACCCCAGCTAGTTGAGGCAGATGGCTGCCCTTCCTAAGTCTGGTTCTGGTTCCGCTGGAGGTTTCTTCTTGTTAAAAAGCAGTCATTTCTTTCCACTGTCGCCAATGTGCTGCTCAGGTTGCAAAGTGAAGATCAGTCACAATCTGCTGGCTTCCTTAGAGAGCCAGCAATGGCCCACTCAGCCATAGCTGTGGGCGACTGTGGCTGAGAGCTTAGAGCAGGGGTCTGCAACCTTTACAATCAAAAGAGCCATTTCTGCCCCTTTGTTCATAAAATTAAATGTGTCCTGAGCACAATACCTGCTACAACTGAGATTCTCAACTGGTGGCCCATGGCCCACTTTAAGTTTGTTGGAGGGAGCTTTTCTGGTCATTAGGGGGGATTTTATAAAACAAAAAAAAACTTATGATTTTTAACATTTATTGATGTTTTTACATTCTAAGACAAAATAAAAGACAAGATTCTTGTAAAGAAGGAAAAAAAAATTATAGTTTTTGCCCAGTTTCTAAAAACTAAAACAAACTATGCATTCTTATGTGATTTTTTTTTTAATTGTAGAAATATTACATATCCTACTTTGAAGAAATAAAGCAAAAAATGAAAATGAGTATGTTTTACTCCTTTCAATGTTTCTAATATTCATATATTTGGTAAAATAAATTACAGGAAAACTGCTAAAACTAGCCCTTTTAGTTGTTATAGCAACCAATAAAATTCAGTTGTATTTCAGTTGTGGTCAAAGCTTGAAAGAGCCGCTGCTGAGGGACCAAAGAGCCGCATGCGGCTCCAGAACCACAGGTTGCAGACCCTGGGGTTAGAGCAGTCGTCCTCCAGTGCAAAACCTGGGGATTCGATTCCACCAGCAGTCACATGCTGAAGTGTCCCTGGGCAAGGCACTGAACCCCTCATTGCCTCCATTGTGTGTCCCTTCAGTGTATGAATGTGATAAAGCACTGATTATTCTTTGTAGATGTAGTAGAGTGCTGTATGAATGGGTAAATGAGGGCACAGATTGTAGTGTAAAGTGCTTTGAGTATCTTGATAAGATAGAAAGGCACTACTATATAAGTACAGTCCATTTACTGTTTAGATAGATAACTTTCACTAATTGGCATTTTAAATGTATGTGAATGTTTTTGTTCAGTGCCCTGAGTTACCTTCTGTTGTGAATTGGCACTTTATAAATAAACTGATCTAAATTGCTTTGCTCAGCCTTGAAACAACTTGATGGAGGTTTAAGTATTTGCTAGAAGCAGGTCTAAGAGTCTGAGCTGACTAATAAAAACATCTTGTGGAGGAGAGCTTTGTTGCACTCTCACGCTCAGTCGACCAAGCCTAATCTCCCAGAGACCCTCATTCCTAAGAGTCTGGCCTCAAGAAAACTAAAGCAAACACTCACACAAGCATTTGATCCCAGAACCACACATTAAGCAGTGTACAAACATTTTCTCAACACCACAGATAAAGAGAAATAGCTAAAAAACAAAGACTATGTTTTATCTTGTTGCAAAAGCATATTAGATCAACATAAAAATCATCACTGAACGTAAATTCTTCTTAAGGCGACAAGTAGAATGACTGTGTAAAAAACAGATTTGCTCTACTTTCAATAAAAATTGATTTGAAAAAGCAGGAAGGGAAAAAAGAAACAGCTGTTGTTGTTTTTTTATTATTTTGCATTCGTTGATTTCGATGTTTTGCAAGTTTTATGTTAGTGTTCCTCAATCTGTCATCAAACCCTTTTTCTGCAGCAGATTCTGAATCGGGGCTTCCTCTGAACTCGTGTTAATTGGGGAGAAGAGCTTTCTATGGATTACTGTATAACTTTCATATGATTTGTTTAACGCTGCAGGCTGAAAGTCGGGAATAGTGATGGACAAAATTACTAACGAGACGAACAGTCCAGATAAAAGCACCATTGCATTACGATTTTCTAAAGGTAGCCTCTACCTTGCAAAATCGAAAGGAAACTAGGGATGGGGCAGATCCGATCCAGTATTGGCGATACCAGCATAATTTACGTATCGGATTTTCCGATCCACCCGCCAATATTTTCTATCCGTGATGCATGTTGGCTTCAAACTATGGAATGGATTTCCTGAACGGCAGCATGTCTCATGAACCCAGAGTAATAAGACCCGCCTCACATTCAGGAAATCCAGTTCATAGTTTGCAGCCAGCTACAACGTGAGGGCTGAGTTAGCAGCACTGTAGCTAACAGCTAACAAACTTTTCATCTAAACATGTCCGCTGTGTGGAAGTATTTTACACTAAACACCACAAAACAAGACAGCAACGTGCAATGTCTGCGGAGCCATAGCGCCACATTAAACCACGTTAAAGTTAGTTTTACAATGGACATTCGAGCACCGTGGATTCAGCGGGGCGCTGCTCTTTGGTCAAATCGAAAGAGGCGACTCGACCCCGGCCAGCCGCGTCCAATCTGCCCCGCTCAGTCTGCCCGTCTCCGAGGAGGGACAGACTGAGCTCGGCTGCCCAAAATCAGGCTGCCTGCTTCGGATTGAACAAGAAGAAGACATCGCTGGAACCACGAAGCTCAAATGTTCACAGAGAAGTTGCTAAACTTCATAATTAATGACCAACCACTATCAGTTGTAGAAAACGAAGGATTTCACAGCTTGATACTTGCAGCCAAGATATAGTTTACCCTCCAGGAGATATTTATCAGTACAACAGTAGACAATTATTAAAAAAAACATGAATTGAAAATTATATATATTAAAAACATAAACAGCTACATTATAAAGTGATGTAAAATACTAAAAACAGGAACATGTCTGTTGGTTTATGCCATGAACTTAGCATTGAAGCCATTTAACATGTAATTTAATTCATTTATTCATTCATTTAAATGAAACAAATTTTTTTTTAAATCATCAAAAAGAAAACATTGAATGAAAAGAGTGCAGAAAGAAGAAAAAATTCTTATATCTGCCCCTTATAAAATATAAAACAACTTTAAACAATCACTTAAATTAATCACTTTAATATCCACTTTAAAGCTAGGAATAAAAAGAAACATGTTTTGTGTTAGCAGAATTTAATTCTAACTTTAAAACTTATCCAACATTAATAAAACTTACCTCAAGTTGCCTTTTTAGACATGCATGCATATACTTGTACAAATTGTACTTGAGAGGAGATTATTACAGCCTCATATAAAATCTATGATGATCATGATATCGGAACTGGATCGGTATCGGCCGATACTCAGTTCTAGGTATCGGGGTCGGATCGGAATTTTAAAAAGTGGATTGGTGCATCCCTAAAAGAAACAACAGTCTCGTCTAAACCAAGTAAAGAAGTTCTGTCTCATATTGAGATGTGATAAAGCAACAGCGGAAAATCGTGACAGAAAGAGCTATGCCTTCAGTAAAAATGTGATATAGTGCCATCCTTCTGAAAGCTAACCTTGGAGAAACACCGGAGCTCTCATACGATTACATCACTTTGTTTTAGTTTTGCAATTAAGTGTCTCGTGAACAGGATGGGCTTCTCCTCATTCGATCCATCAGGTACAACATCTGACTTGTGGTTTCATTTCTGTTACAGCCACTAGCAACAACCTGAACATAAACACTAACCCAACGCTAAACAGAAAAACCAGCATGGACAACCCATCTGAGAACAGAACTTGGAAAACTCCGCCCCATTTCTCTCCCAAGATTTCCCAGAAGGACATGCAGCTCACACAGTCTCCTATGTTCAAGTACAACGTGTAACTTCAATAATTCAGACTGAAATTTAAGAGTAACCAAATTTGTATTTGGCCTACATTTCTTTAGAGCAACTAGAATTTCTGTGTGGATTGTTGAATTTACACGTTGCAGTTGAACGCATCACTATTGCAAGGACTTCCGGAAGTCTCAGATCCTCGTGTTTTGGTTATATCAGCATTCTGATTGATTAGTTTTCCTGTCAGTTATTAAATAAACTTGTGCAGAGACTCACTGAGCTCAGCTTTCTCTCCTGACAGTGAAGTCCTGATCAATGCTCAACTGCAGAGTCGTTTATATAAAATAAGAGAAATTAGCAAACAAAAACAATAAAAACTACACTGAAGGCATTGGTTTTATATAAATTAAACATTAAATTATAATTCTAAATGTAACATTTCATATGTACAGAATTCTTCGGACTTCTCTGAAGGTGTTGAAGGCCCTGAGGTCCCCCTTCAAAGAAAACAAGACAAATATACATTTAAAGGAAAAGTGACTATAATCATCAATTTTTGCTTAAAGAGTTATAGAGAAATAAAATAAAAAACTAATGAAATTTAATTGAAGTCTTTAAGTTATTATAAATCTCCTCAGCCAAAGAAGCCTGCTGCTTAATGATGTGATGACATGGCAACTTGTTTTATAGAAGACTTGATACAGCTGTGATGTTAACCCTACAGTAATTACTGACACTGAGTGGGACTGAAGGCTGCAGGCTCTAAAGTTGAACTCAAAACTTCTGAAGAGGTGTTCATTTATTGTTTCATCAGAATCACAAAGTGGCGTGAAGTGTTGTAGCTCTGCTGCTTTTTGCCACCGTTTTCTGTCTTAATTCACTGTTGTATTTTAGATTTTAGCATCAACAGCGCACGTGAAACTTTCTCTGTGCTCTGTCAGGCATTCTTCATGTATCCCTCATGGGGAAAAACGTTTAGTTTTCAGTGCATTTTAACATTTAAAATAGGTCAAATTACTATTTTAAATTAATAACATTTAAAAACATAATGGTTATGAACAGTATCCACCCTCAGAAACTGTAGATCCACAATAACAAGAAGAGATTGTATTGATATAAAACAAAGTTTTTATCACAAACTCACCTTTTTACTACCTGTTTTTCATTAGTCTCTTAGACGGATGCTTCACCTACATGTGACCTTCACCTCTTATTAAAGCTGTGTGACCTTTGACCTCAGGAGGTCAAATTCTTCTTCATAAGAGGCCAAAGTTAAAACTGATCAAGGATCAATGGTTTTTATTTTCTTGAAAAAGTAAACAGACTTTCGATGGGGTTTTGTTTATTTATTTGTTTGTTGTCTTTGTTCAAATAATGATGCAAAAATATCCACAAAAACTTTCCGAACATCTCATATTATCACAGTATCAGAGGTTAGAACGCAGGAAGGCAGACTGACACAAGAGCTCAAAAAATAAAAATAAAAAATTCTTACCTAAACGCAAGAAGGCTGATGAGGCAGCAACCTATAAAAGCTTGAGGAGAACATGGAGGAGAACCGGACAGGACACACACACACACACACACACAATGACAAACTGATGAATGAGTGGAAACAGAAGGAATAAATGGAGGGGGGCTGACGAGGTGATGGGAAACATAGGTAGGGAAAGAACAAACCAACCATAATGAAAAACATAAAAAAACAAACTTTAAACAGAGAAACAAACAGAGAAAACACAACTCATGACACTTATTTATTAGTCAGAACCATTAATTTCTAAGGAAACATTTTAGTGCATTTCATCAAAATGGCTAAAAAAAACTCAAAGAAATCTCAAACAGCTACAAACACGTCACAACGTTACAAATTAAATCAGTCCAGTCGGGCTCTTGCTCTGACATCTGTTTGTCAGCTAGCTGTAGCACTTCCTGTGCAGCCTTGGATACAGCTGGCAGGAATATCAATATATATATATGCTTGAATAACCCACGCCATTTTGAATTATCTGTGATGGGAAGGTTCTTAAAAATCGTTCATGAATTGCAAAGAAATGATGGAGACTGAAGTTATTTCAGGCAGCAGCAAATTGGTACTGACACTGTTCTGACTAGTCATTAGCTCGTCACTCTGTTCAAAAGAGCACTGTCTACAACAGGTAGGATAGTGATGGTTCATCACCCTTCCACAGAACTCCTCTTCAAACATGTGAACTATCCCGTTAATTCTTACAGTGAATTGAAATGTATTTTGTGTTAACAAAGTTCAGTAAGGGTATCTGGATGGTTTCATCCAAAGGACTTCATCAATCCTAGGAGCCACAAACAAACTCAGTCACCTGGATTATTGAGCATGAACTTTGATGTTTTGAACCACTTTGGCTATGGCTGCCTCAGAGGAGTCGACGGGGGAGAGAAAAGAAACCATCTTATCACCAGCAAACTTGTTGGCCCACTATGAGAGTGTGCTGCTTGTGGGACTGAGTTTGTTTGTGGCTCCTTGGACTGATGAAGTCCTTTGGATGAAGGATGAAACATCTAAAAAATATACATATAAATCCAGATGACCTGACTGAACTTCGTTGGATTTTTTACACGGATTACTGAGCATGAACTTTGATATAAATAAAATCTTAATTCTAAATGTTTGTGTTTTTGTTTCCTCCAAACAGAACGGCATGGCGTTAACGTACGACCCCGCTGCGATACAGAATGGGTAGGTGGCAATTTTCCTTTTCAAGTGTACAAACTGTGTTTCTAACTTTTTTCTACAAATGTAACTTTGTGCACGCGTATTGTAGGAAACTTAACATCTAAAGAAACGCACCAATTAACCGATCTGCTCACACACATTTACCGTGTCGGGCAGTTCTGACTGCTGCAGATGGAGCTTTCGTTTATGCACCCGTGCATACAAGCTGTCAGACATGTTGGTTCTGACTGCAGACAGGGATGCTGGGTGGTGTTGCAGTCCCGCTGTAAGACTTTCATCAGCCGAGGCTATCTGCAGCGCTGAATGATGAGAGCAGAGTCTGTTGCAGGGGGAAATTGGAGACCGGTCGTGTCTGCTAGGAATGCTTCTGGTGATGCGTTCCCTGGAGATCCTTCCTCTTGGGCCTTTGTTCATCTCCTCCTCCTTTTGTCTGCTCACTTCTCTATCCGTTTTTAATCTCTGCTACCCTAACTGTCCCTGCTCAGTGCTGCTTGCTGACCTTTGCATTCTCCATCTGTTTTCAAACCAGGCCTCTTAGTTGTCTCTGTGTTTTCAGATGAAATGAAAACTCTTTCAACTCGTGTGCTTTTGTCTCCTCTGCTGTGCATCCTCCTCCAAGTCCAACTCATTCCAAACAGCTGCTTTAGTTTCAGTAATCTCTCGAGGCTTAAAAAAATAATAAATAAAAGTTGTGTGAGACTATTCGTGCATGCATAAATGCCTCGTTGTGCGCAAGCATCTGCACCCTCGTGGTGTTTAAGCCTTCTGCGACCCTTCAGTCGAGGTCATCCGAGCTCCTTCCGGCAAAACACTAAACGACTGTGAAATGCTAATGCAGCTAATTAGAGAGGGGGAAAAAAAGCTTGGAGGGAAGGGGTTTGCATAAAAATGGAGGGATGAACAGGGTCAAGAGGAGGGCAGAGGCAAAAATAAAGTCAGCCCAAGGAGAGGGGCAGAGAATATGAATCAATTACAGGTTCTCTCGTCTCTCTGAACTTGAGGACAGCTGGTTTGTACAAACACCAGACTTTTATTACTGGAAGCATGTGCACTTATTTCCCAGAACGCTGTGGCTGAAAGCCTGTTCTCTTTTTCTTCCAAATCAAGATTAAAACCAAAACATCACTGTTTCATTGCCTGCACTTTACCTCCAAGTTGCCTCTTCAAGTCTCTGCTGCCCTTTGCATATCTGTTGGTTCCTCTCCTGTAAAGTCACCGAGGTCAGCACCAAATATGGCAAATTTTTAATTTCAAACTCCTGACTGTGCGCTCAGACCACACCAGAGGTTACGTTCAGTCCTCTGCTAATGCTCTGTTTGCAGTTGCATGTTAAGTGCGTTGTCCGAGCGGCCGCATTTGAGTCTCCATTGACAGTCTGCAGCTCGGAGCTAATAGCTTCCATCAATAACCTTGGATATGTCCTCTGCCTACTTCTCCCTCCTCTCAAACACATCAGTCTAATGAAAAATACAATAAATACAATCAGAGGACCATATTGAATAACCCTGCTGCCGTCCCTCGTTTGTATCCATCAATGACAGTAACACAGTATCTCTAATGTGAATCATATATTAGTTTTAGTCAAAAAAGATGAATCCACCACTGCTCCATGGGTCAGGGTGTTTTCAATACTTTATCAAACACGTTCCAGTCTTTTGTCCCATCTGTGTGGTTGTCTAGGCTTTTTTTATGTCTGCCCTTCGTCTCTCATTTTGTACAAAATAAATATGTGCATATGGCATGTTTTCAAGTTGCCGTTAGATAATAGCTCGGGGCTTTAGGTGGAGACAACTAGCGTGGATTTAAAGATTTTAACACCCTTCGTCTCCTTTTGGAGGACGGAGTTCAGAAAACTCCTTCTTCATGTAGAAACGTGTTTAATGACTCGCACATAATTAGGCAAATTAGGAAAAATCAAATGTTCCTTCTGAACACGTGGCTGAAACTCGTTTGAAGGACAGGGTTAATGTTTGACTTTTAAAGCAGCTGTCAGCGTTTGATAATTTTTTTGGTCTTTTGGATTGCACAAAGAACAAAAATGGTGGCGTGTAACAACACAGCAGTCACTCAGTGTGGAATGAGGGTATGTTTTTGTCTCCTGATGTCCTCTGAAAAGCCAGGAGCTGTTTTTTGGGATCAGGTGAAGCCTTCAGTGATGTGAGAAGAACATCCTGTTAGGTCCCAGGCGCTCCAGTATATCAGTGTCTGAGAACTGACCCGTTAGCTGGGTACATTTAGTTCAAGTTCAAGAATCTTTATTATTCCCAAGGGACAATTTGTTTCACAGTCAGTAGGCACCCAGAACATCCACAAGACATTGAGACATTAAAATAACAAAAATCATCACTGTTCATTGAGAAGCCTGATCACTACAGGGATGAATGAGTTTTTCAGTCTGTTCGTTCTACATCTGGGCTGCAGATACCTGCATCCAGATGGAAGCAGCATGAACTCACCATGGAGTGGGTGATCAGGATCTGCCAGAATCAGCCTGGCCTTGTTCACTGACCTCGCCTTGTCTAAGTCAGTGAGGTTCTGCCAGCAGTTTTGCTGCACATCCTGACAATCCCCGAGTGTCCCCAAGAGAGAATTTAGGGGCTAGCTCCAACAAAACTGTTCAATCCTGTTTTATACCTCGCCTAAAGGCAAAGGTGGACAACATTACATAACATGACCATGCTTCTGTGCATGTTTGGGTGATATGCACATAATGATATAAAGGTAATCCAGAACTGAAAGATTTGAGGGCAGTTAAAAGTTTCATTTTACTGAAGCAAGCTGCATTTCAGAACAATCAACCAGAACCAGAACTCAGTCAGCTTCTGATTCATCAAATGTCTCTGTTCTGCTCCACATACGTGAACCATGAGTGGAATTGTAGCTTCTATTTTATGTTTTCTACTTAGCTTTCAGCGCTCCAGTTAAAACATAAAATCCCAAAGGAGCCAACCGTCAGACGTTTGCATCTTTGTAGCTGAGGTGTGAATTTGAGATGTAAAACAGAAAGTGTTACTTTACAGAGGTGTAAAAAAAACATTTCAGTCTTGAAATGACGTGTACTCTTTGGTTATCTTGATCTCTGAGCTTCTCTGCTGCCTGTGTATTCTGTATTACATGTCTATAAGATTTTAGAAACTAAATCCAGCAAAGCAGACTGAAGTTTTTATACAACCTGATATGGAGCAAGTTTGTGTGTTAGAGACAGATGGAGGTGGACTTGTCTTTTTGTCTCTGCCGGCGGATGAAACACGTCCTCTCTGGGTACACAATGATAAATAAAGCGCTGCGAGTCACAGCATTGCACCTGCTGCAGGGGTGCGGAGGTGAAATAAGAAAAGGGAGAGAAAGAAATGAAAGTAACAACTCAGAAGGACAAACAGAGGTATAGGCCAACACAAAGGCTGTGTAAAATGCCGATGCAGCTTTCTCTGTGTTTGTGTAGGTGGAAACATGAAGCGTAATATTGAAATATTTCACCCACTCACACATTAGGGTGATCATTTATTATGCACAGCTGCAGCGCTAACTCCTTTTATAAAACGACGTGTACTCGAATTCAGCGTCAAGTCTCATTCTGAGACGACTTTGATGGTTTGGTGCAGACTGAAGCTGCAGAGTTAATTATTTCTGCAACAGCTTTGATGATTACGTCTGCTTCATTTTGTCAGAGTTGACTTAAAGCGCTCCGAGTACAACCCCTGGCAAAAATGATGGAATCCCCAGTCTTGCAGGATGTTCGTTGGATTGTAAAAATAAATCACAGACATGCCACAAAGATAACTTTTTTTTTTAAGTTCAACCTTTTAACATAAAAAAGAAAAAAAGAATGAAATGTATATCTGTTGTAGACCGTCACTGTTGCTTTTTCAGATAAGATCAGATTAAATCTGCTAATTAGTCTTCAGGTAAAGAGGCTGCCACCTTGGAAGCAGATCAACATGAATCATGGCTCCAACACCAGGGATGTTAAAGGAGAGGACTATGAAACGTCTTCAAGAAGTTAGAACACCACCAATCTGTGAAGTTTTCAGTTGGCTGTGTCTGAAATCTGGACCAAGTTTAAACAAAATGAGAAGGTTGAAGAAAAGAAGCAAGCTGGTCGACCAAGGGAGACGTCAAAGGGTCAAGATAGAACTGAAAGCAAAATGTCTGAAAACAGAAAATACAAGAAACAAGTGGGCAGAAACTGGAGTCAACGTCTGTGATCGAACTGTAAGAAACTGTTTAAAAGAAATAGATTTAGATGCAGAGAGGTCAAACAAAAACCATCACTAACCCCCAACAGATAAATCAAGGAGATGGAGGGTTAAAGAAAACCAACCACAGACTGACGAAGGTGTCATGTCAGGTAAAGACCCGGGGAGACGCCATCTGCCGAGGTCTACGTTGTCATTTAGGACACTTTTCTTATTCCATCAGCTGAAAGGAAGTTTGGTGACGATGACTTCATGTTTTCAGGATGATGAAGCATCTTATCACAGAGCAAAGGAGAAGAACACCTTCCCTCAACAAAGACATGATGTCAACGACATGGTCTGCAAATAATCTGGATCTCAGTCCAGTTGAAAATCTCTGGTGGAAATGAAAGAAAATGGTCAGTGACTGGACTCCAACCTGCAGAGCTGATCTGGGAACAGCAATAAGAGATGGAGTCAGATTGATGACGAGTACGTTTGTCTTTAGTTTGGTCCATAACTCAGAGAATCAAAGCTGTTAGAAAACCCAGAGGTGGTGCAGCAAAGTACCAACGGATCAGTGTTTTTCTTATGATTCCATGTTTTTGTCTTTGAAGCTGAGTTTCTTTCAGCTGCTCCCGTCTTCAGGGGTTGCCACAGCAAATGAACTTGCATGAAAGATCTGGGCAATTGTTTTACGCTGGATGCTCTTTCTGACGCAACCTGGGCTCGAACCCGCAACCTCGGGATTACAAGACCACCAATCTACTGCAACCTCTTTCTTTGAAACTGAGTTGTTTCGTAAATTTTTCCTCTACTTGCTCTATAAAATAACTAACAACATTTATATTTCTTTCTTTCTTTGTTGTTTCTTAATGCCAAAAGGTTGGAATTGTGAAAAATAACAGTTTGCTGCATGACTTTGATTTATTTATATGAAATTAAACATTTGAAAGAGCATCCTCCAAGAGGGGTGACTCCATAAACTTATCCAGGGGTTGTCGTTGAAAACGGGGTGGCTCATTGTCTTTACTGACAGTGTATCAGATTTTCTGTAGGATTTTTTTTTGTTTAACTCCTGGTTCAGTTGGACCCCAGTTCTCTGAGTTTGTTTGGTGATGCTGATAATTAACGTGGTCGTGTTTTTAACGCTCCACAGGTTCTACTCTTCACCGTACAGCATCTCCACCAACCGAATGATCGCTCAGACGTCAATCACTCCCTTCATAGCTGCATCTCCCGTCTCCACATATCAGGTGTGTGCACTCGCTCAGAAGCAAGTGAGCCTTAAACAGATAGGATAGTTTAAAGGTAGGAAATAAATACTTTTTTAATTTTTTTGTAAGCTGTCCACAGAACCTGACACTTTCAGAACACGTGAAAGAAAACAGTTGAGTTGTTGTAGACTGACATGGCTTTAGAAGCAGACCTAATGCTCACCCCAGGTGTGTCAGGAGAGGATTAAAGTTTAAATAATCCACTTACTGAAGAAGTGTAAAAATTAAACAAGTCAATGTAATTTAACGAGCACAGCAACCACTGTAGTAATTGATTATACAGCAAAGAAAAACTGCATTTGGATAATTAAATTATTGATTATATAAACAACCAGTGGCTAATAGAACTGGTCATTCACCTTTGATATGATCTATCTATCTATCTATCTATCTATCATCTATCTATCTATCTATCTATCTATCTATCTATCTATCTATCTATCTATCTATCTATCTATCTATCTATCTATCTATCTATCTATCTATCTATCTATCTCTCTCTATCTCTCTATCTCTCTATCTCTGTAGCTCTCTATCTCTCTCTCTCTCCATGCAATCTGTGATTCATGGTGAGTTCAGGTACAACATGTAATTTCAATAATCTACACTGAAAATGTACTATTAACCCACAAATATTACTGTTTCTGTAAAAATGTAATTGTTTGATGAAAACAACAACTATTAGAGAAAATAACCTATGCCTAAATGAAATATGTAACCTTTTTTGTAGAGCAGCTAGAGTTTCAGTGTGAATTCACTGGTTGTAAATGAAGGTATCACACACCTTCACATGGTGCCAAAGTTTTTTTTTTTGTTTTTTCTCATTATGTTGTGTTGCATTCTCAGAAACAAAACTAACTAACTAACTAAAACAATAAAAAACACACAAAAAAATGTTCTGTACCTGTTCACTCGACCTTATAATGAGCCCAAATCTGGTTGGGGTGCTGCTGATCCAGCTGCTGATCCACTCCAAAAACTTTTTAATTCACTGTAGCTTGTAGTGATGTGCCGCTGAGCTGACTCCATGAGATTTACAAACAAATTAAGAGCTTTGAAGATGATTTATCCATTAAAACAGGCAGCTTCAACAATTCAATTTACCGTATTAGATTTAAGTTGTCTGAAAATGAATAAAAAGACTAAAATTATCCACATTTAGCACTGATAACACCTTTCAACACCAAAGATTCAACACCTTATTCACCACTTTTTATTTTCTGTCAATTTCACTGCTGGACTTGCTTTTCCTGTTTGGAACAAATTCTTGTTCTCCTCAAAAGATAAGAAACCATGCTAACAAGCTAGCTACATCATTCATGTCCACCATAACTGCTTTGGATACAAACATCACATCCGGATGTGTCGATAGCCTTCCTTAAAGCATTGCTTATAAATTGTAAGTCCCGCCCACACCACATCAACATTCTGATTGGTTAATTTTCCTGTCAGTCGTTAAATTAACTCCTCCTCTGAGACTCTGACTGAGCTCAGCCTTCTCTCCTGACAGTGAAGTCCTGACCAATGAGAAAGTTCCTTCAAGCATGTTTCTGCTCGGAGACAAAAATATTTAAAAAATCTGATTGGAGAACTGGATTTTCATAAATGAAACAGTTTCTTGCTCAACTGCAAAATAGTTTACAGAAAACAAGAGAAATTTGAAAAATAAAATAGAATTAAAAAAAACTACATTACATTTATTATTTTATATGAAATAAATATTCAGTAAAAACTTAAATGTAACATTTCATATGTGCTGAATTCTTGGGCCTTCTCTGAAGATCTAGAAGGCCCTCAGGGTTCCTCTCGGATAAAAAAAATGAGAGACTATTTACATTAAAAGACAGCTACACTCATTCTGTTTTGTAAAGCCTGAACCAGTAAAACTCCATTTGCTACAGTTTATTACTGTGTTAACATAATTTAGTGTTTGTCTTTTCTTGTTTTCTCTAAAATTTAATTAAGCTTCTTAACTGATGCTCATATAAACATAGTCAAGTTGGTCCATTTATGGGATTTATTTGGTTAAAAGTTATAATGTTCGTTGAAAGGGGGAAAAAGCAATAAAACCAGTTGATGTCGGTTTCATACCCTCATCCAGAAGAGCTCTGATCCTTAGTTTTGAGATTATTTTAAACTTTAGGTTTATATGAGGCTGTCATGTAAAAAACAAACACTAAAAGTTGTTTTTGAGGAAAAAAAACAAATTGTTTAATCTTTTGTCTTTATGACTTCCTGGTAGAAAACTGAAAGTTAAAACTTGTGCTTGTGTTGGAGCTTGAACCAGTTCCTGACCCACACTTTTATAAAATGATCATTTTAGCTCAGAAGATCCACATTTACACATTATTACACTCTTACTGCACCACATCATCCATGTGACGCAGTAAGACTTAAGCTACAATAAGCAGTATGTGAGCAGCAGAGGTGTTCTGATGAAATAACGCTCACTGGGAAGCTGAAACTTTGAGTCACTCTCTGTGGTGCGTTATAACAAACTAACACGATGGACCCTCAGCAACTTCTGTGATTATTTATTTAAACACATTTCCACTGGGACTAAAACTGTTTTCTCTTCATCAGTTCTTGAACCTGTGTATTAAATCATCTTTTGACCTTCCCTCGTCTCCTGCATCCCTCCCACTCCTGCCCGTTCCCTTCCTAATTAATTACTTTTTCATGTCCTTCATTTATTCTTTGTTATTCCTGTTCCTGCTCCTGTTATCGCATCTAATCTAATGGTTACTTGTCTTCTTTTCCTCTCTCTGTATTTTGCTCTTTATTTCTCTGAAGGTCCAGAGCACATCTTGGATGCCACATCAACAGTATGTTATGCAACCTACAGTAAGTCTTTGAAAGAGGCTCTGCCTTATGTGTGTGCATCATGTGTGTCATGTCCCAGTGGGGTCATTCCTTACATTCCTCAGTCCCTTGAACTGATTCCTTTTATTCCTGTCATTTCTGGGATCATGCCTGTCTTTCTTTTGTTTTTTGCATACATGTTAAGCATCAATGTGGCTGTCAGCAGCAGAATTTAAGCAACAAAAACACTTGGAAACTGTGTTTGATATCTCTAAGGACTGCTGTTTTGTCTCAATCAGATTATTCTAATTATTCAGAACTGAAAATGATAATAATGAAACCAGATCTATAAAATAATTTGTTGGGGGAAAAAAATGAAACAAGCTGTTGAGTTTTCTGCAAATGCAGCATTTGGCAGCTAAACTCAGAAAAAAAAAAAAAAAAAAAAAAAACAGTAAATGTGTTTCAGCATCTCAAGTTGCTGAATCAATGTGGCATAAATCAGGTATCAGTTAAACATTGCCCCCTCCTGGAATTAAATAAAAGTGCATGTGCAGATTGCACAAATATGTTGAATGCATCCTGAGTTCGTTTACCTCCAAATATTGATCAGATTTGCGCCCAAACGCACACAGTTGAGTTCCTGTCACTGAAAACAAATGTTTCCAAACATGACCACCTGTACTCACACACACATTCACAGATGAGAGCGTTAGCTCTGGTCATAAATACTGAAAAATGTACCTCTTTTCCATTTTCAGCTCTTTTTGACCTTTAACATAACCTTGATTCCAAACTCAATCTTTTCTTCTACGTATGCAGCAACAGTATAACTAAGTTTACATACACTTCTCTCTAAAGAAAACCTGAACTGAAGCGTGTCCCGGGTTTCTACCTCAGCATATTTTATGAAATGTTTGCTCCTCCAGTCAAAGGTCAGAGTCCAGTATTTAATTAGAGGTAAGCATAGTGTCCTCCTGTGTGGACTCACCTCACAACATTTTTTATTCTTAGCGCTGCAGGACCAGAGGGTTAAAAAAAATCAGATTCACGTCACAGTAACCTTGAACGCTTTGAGTGAAGATGAACTTGAAATGCAAAAATGAGCAGGAAACAGGACGCAGCCGGAGCAAAATGAAGGTGGAATCCAGGAATATTTAGTCTTACCAAAGAAATTCAAGCTTTCAGTTCTGCCTCCAGCTTTAGCGTGTGGATGGTTGCAGGAAGCTGGAGCGAGTCCCAGGTGACAGGGCAGGAGTGCAAGGTGCTGCAGGCAGAACAAAAACAAAGTGTCAGGAAGACAAAAAGAACGCAGACGAATAAAGAAGACAAAGAGAAAGAAGCAGGGCACGAGAACATGGAGTTACACAAACAACTGACGCGTAAACTGGAAGGAAGGCGTCTTGACAGGCAGCGCTGACTGCAGAGCTACGATTTAAAGACATTTCTTCAAAGATGATCTGAGTAAATCAGAGAGACTAATCAGTGTTTTAGCTCCCACTGATGGGACACATCGGAGGAATTAAGGGTCTGTCCCTGGGACACTTCAACATGTGACTTCACGCCTAAGGAATTGAATCTTTAACTCTCTTGTTAGTGAACCATCGCTCTAACCACTGATCCACTGCCAGTTTATGAAACATAACAGAACAGGAGTATATAAAATTGTTAGATGCGTCATAAAGGAACAAATCAAATCCTTAAAGTTGGGTCTGTGGAAAGGAAATGAACAGGTAACATCTTACCTGCTGTAGATCTCCTCAATTGTTTGAACTGATGAGCTGAGGCCAAGTCAGAAGTGCCTTACAACAAGACTATCTTTTCAAAACATTGTAAATCAGGGCTATTCAACTGACGGCCTGGGGGCCAAATCAGGCCCATGGCTGTGCCCAGGTCAGCCCACCAATGGGTTCATTTTAAAATAAAACTAGATTTTAAACCATAAAACAAACTTAATGAGAATAAGTGCTGGATGTCTGGCCCTTGGCTTTCATTAACTGTGTGTGGCTCCTTGAGCAATTGAATAGCCCTGTTGTAAATGCTTTGTGACAAGTTTAAACTTTAGAAATGATTAGAGGTATTAATAGAAAAGGGTTTGTGATCTTTTTCACACACTGATGAAAGCTTCTTGGCGTTATACAAAAATGCACTGGAAAGGATAAAGGTTCTTATTGTCACTGAATGACTGCAAGTATTGCAGCAAAATATATTGGAATTCCTGGTGTCAGAAGCAAAATTAGCTTTAGTAACAAGGTAATAACAAAGACATAGTGAATCTTATTGTTCAGCTTATTTCAAGGTCAAGGTTTTCTTTAATGTAATTCACATCTCATGTGGTGGAAGTGGTCTCCAGCTACAAGTACTTGGGTGTGCACCTGAATGACAACCTCAGCTGTGGCAACAACACCACCAGCCTGATCAAGAAAGCTCATCAGAGACTCTGCTTCCTCAGGTAGCTGAGACGAGCTGGTCTGGGAAGCTCAATCCTCACCTCCTTCTACAGGTGTGCAGTGGAGAGCATCCTGTGCTCCAGCATCAACGTGTGGCATGGGGGCTGCACAGCTGCAGAAAGAAAAGCTCTGCAGAGAGTGGTGAAGGCTGCACAGAAGTCTGTTGGAGTCAGCCTCCCCACCATCATAGAAATCTACACCTCTTGCATCATGAAGGACCCCACTCACCCAGCACACACACTTTTTGCCCTGCTCTCCTCAGGAAGGAGGTTGAGGAGCATTAAGTGTAGAACCACTAGACTGAGGAACAGCTTCTACTCAAGCTGTTAGACTCATAAATCCCTAATCAGGATAATCACTGAAAAAAAAATCACTGTAATGCCACTGCAGCATGGTGGCACAACTGGTAGAGCTGCTGCCTCTCAGCGAGCAGGTCCCTGGTTCAAATCCCAGTCCGGGGGCCTTTCTGGGTGGAGTTTGCATGTTCTCTCCGTGCATGCGTGGGTTTTCTCTGGGTACTCCAGTTTCCTCCCACAGAACAAAAACATGCATGTTAGGCTGATTGGTAACTCTAAATTGTCCCTAGATGTGAGTGAGAGAGTGAATGGTTGTTTGTCTCTATGTGTCCCTGTGATGGACTGGAGACCCGTCCAGGGTGTACCCCGCCCCTCGCACAGTGATTGCTGGACATGGGCACCGGCAAGCCCCGTGACCCAAAATGAAAGAAGTGGGTAAAAGATAATGGATGGCCGGATGGATAGATGGATGGATGGATGGAATGCCACTTGATTTTTGATATGTGCTGCTGACTATCCATGCTGCTGATGTCATGCTGCTGATTGATTACTGTGTTCATTTGTACTCATCTGCTCACGCAAACTCATGCTCGTGCTGCTGTTGTTCGGCGTATTGTTTATGTAGTACTAGTGCTTAGTGGTTTCTTAGTTTAACATATTTCTTTGTTCATATCTTAGATCTTATTGTTTTTCTTTTACAATTTATACTTTGGTTGGATGTAACTGGGACCCTGTGCACATAATTTTGTTCCACCACATGTACCACATGGTGCAAATGACAATAAAGAAATTTTGACTTTGATGTGGTGATGTATTATTAATAACAATAATTAAACTCCACTTGAATATCTTGCAACAAAAACATTAAGGTTTACGTACATTCTCTGTTCAATTCTAGCCCAGAAAAACACCCATCTCCAAAACTACAAACATTCACTCTTCAAATCATTCAGAGATGGGGCGCATTGGCATACCACTTATTTTAATTTGATTTTAAGATCCAACACTGAGTAATGACTGAGGAAGTCGTGCAAAGACCAAGTTTTACAGTGAACATGTGGAGAAAACTCCAGTTTTACTTTCTTCCTGTTTATTTCCTGCTTTATGTTGCACTGACAAGTCCTGAACACGTCCTGTTGTCATGACAGATTAAAATGCTCTCTGTAAGAGAGGATAATACCCATCTGTAAACGTGTTTTCATACAAACGTCCCATCTAATTATTCGGCAGGCCACTTGAAATGACAGCCTAAGACTTGAGAAGAGGGGAGAGGGATAAAGGTTTAGGAGGCAAATAAATAAGAAAACCGTGGATTTGACAGTGCAAGGACAGAGGAGAGGAGATGATACGAGGGGAGAAAAAGACAAAGAACGAAGGGATTACAGAGAACAAATCGAGAACAAAGAGGAGAAAACGAGTGTTGCAGAGCCGTGTCTATACACAGCCTGAATCCCTGTTAGACTACAGAGGAGAGGCTGCTCGTTGTGTTTGCTGGATGTAGAAGAGCTGCACATTAAAGCTGCAGAGAGGGGAGGCAGACAGAGACGGAGGAGCTTCATTTTGTTCTTCTGGTAGCTGAAGCTCTTTGCAGCGCCGCCGTTAATCACTGCTAACTCTGATTGATGAGGATCGCTGCTTGACACATTTAGGCTGACACTCAGTAAATAAAGCATCACATGCTTTGAGACTAGAACTGGAAGGTTTATAGTTGTACTAGTGACAGATCAGCATGAAAGCATGGATTATTATGAAAACTGATAGACTCCAATTAAAAGGTTCAAATTAGAAAAATGCCAGATTTTAGACTAAAGTTTTCCCGTATTGAACAAAAGCTTTGTAGTTATTTTGGTCACACATAAAAAAATAACATGCACAATCACATGTGCTCAAAGTATGTATTATTAATAACTCTCAGCTACTACCACATCAAATGTTGTCTCAAGATCTGACTGATTCCATAGCCTCTGGTTGTTTCAGCTAACATTTATTAGCTGTGGCGCCCATTTGGAATTGGATTCAATCCAAAAGTCAACCAGTTGTGAAGGTACATCTAGTAAACAGTTTCTAAAAATGTCTATAAAATCCATCTTGTAGTTCATAGGTTATTTGGCTAACAGTCAAACAGAGTTGACTGAATTATAAACTTCGAGTCTGTACACCAGGGGTGTCTAACTCATTTTCTCTGAGGGCCACATGAGCTTTATGGTTGCCCTCAAAGAGCCAGTTGTACCTGAAAGACAATATACATATGTTAGAAAAAAACAATGTAAATAAAATGAAAATAATTTGAATTTTC